TTGTTGCCTCACAGTTCTGGAGGCTGGAAGTCTGACATCAAGGAATTAATAAGGACATATTTGGTGGTTTTCTGGAAATCTTTGAAGCACCTTGGCTGGCAGCAATGTAAGTTCAATCTCTTTCCTCATTGTCACTTGTCTCTGTCTTCTTTGAAGCATACTTAAACTCAAAAAATAAAATGGGTTTTTTATTTCTTACTAAAAAATCAACAAATTAGAGAAAAGAAACAGACCAGGCGTGGTGGCAAAACCTATAATCCCAGCACTCAAAAGGCCTTCAGAATTGCAAGTTTAAGGCTAGTCTGGGCTACATACACAATAAAACTCTGTTGAAAGAAGAAGAAAAAAGAGAGGGGGGTAGGAAAAGAAGACAGAAAGAAAATTTTATCCAGGCATGGTAGTGCATCTCTATAATCCCAGCATTTGGAAAACTGAGGCAGAAGATTTTCAGTACAAGGCCGGCCTTGGCTACATACCAAGACTCTGCCTCAGAAACAAACAAACAAACAAAAAACCAAAGCAAATACACACACCCCCCAAAAAAAGTAGCAGATAGATTTTTAAACAATAGAACCTCTAGAAATACCTTTTTTTTTTTTTTTTTTTAAGAATAGGACTAGACATTATAAACTCTGGGTGGTTATCAGCAAATTACACATACCTGAAGAGAAAAATTAACAAATTAGAACACATATCTGAAAAACTTCCCAGAATGCTGCCTGTAACTTATTAAGGGTGGAGATTTAAGATAGACCCGAAAATAGATCTTATCAGAGTTTCAGAAAAAGCTAGAGGACAGGAACTAATAACTTCTCAGAATTGAAGAGATGTGCTAATCACCAGATTTAAGAAATACTGCAAATCCTAAACACTTAGAAAATCAGTATGGAGGTTCCAGCAATCCGCTTGTGGATCTACCTGCCTGAGAAATGAAGTCAGTAAGTCAGAGACATCTGCATTATTATATAGTCAAAATACGGAATCAGCCTAAGTGTCCATCCATGGATGAACAGATAAAGTAAATGTGGTATACATACACAGTGGAATACTATTCAGTCACAGAGGATAAAATGTTGTCATTTGTGGTAACACTGATGAGCCTGAGGATATTTTGTTAAGTGAAATAGCAGGTACAGAAAGGAAAATTGCTATATGATCTCACTCATGTTCAGAGTCTTAAACGTTAACCTCACAGAGGTTGAGAGTAGAACGGTGGTTACAGAGACAGGGAGAGGCTTGGTCAGTGTCATGGTTACATAGGAGGAATAGGTTTCTGTTCTATGACACAGTAGGGTGGCCAGGTTAAACAGTGATGTGCATCTCAAAGTAGCTACGAGAGAGGACTTTCAAATCCTCACCACAAAGAAGAGAGCCATGTTTAAGGTGATTGGTATGCTAATTACTCTGACTTGATTATTGCACAATGGGCATGTGTTTAAACATCACCTATAACCCACAAATACATACAATTATTATGCACCAATCAAAACCAAAATAAAACTAAATTTTATTTTACTTTGTGTGTGTGTGTGTGTATGTGTGTGTGTGTGTGTATGTGTGTGTGTGTATGTGTATGTGTGTGTGTGTGTGTGTGTGTGTGTGTGTGTGTGTGTGTGTGTGTGTGTGTGTGGTCTAGGGAACAAACCCAAAGCCTCCCACAAGCCTAGGCGACATTCTACCACTGAGCAAATTCACAGCCCCTAGAACTTTTTAAAAAGAGAGAAATCTAATTGCTGATTTTTGCTAGCTTTGGAGAAGGAGAAACCAAGAAATACAGCAGTATTTCAATAGAAGTAATGAGAATTTTTAAAAGAAAAGTGAAATTACAAAACCAAGGGCAAAGAAAAACTTATATCTAGCCAAAGAGAAAGCACAGGCTAACCTACAAAGAAATGACAAATCTTAAGTTTGACTTCCCAATGGCAACAATGGGAGCCAGAAGAAAATGGGATTATATCTTCAGCATAATGGATCAAATAATTGCCTACTTATAACTGCATCTTGCCGAAGAAGAAACTGTCCAATGGTACTTGCTGAAAATGAGAAGGCAGACTTCATTCGAGGTGGAGGGTTTAGAGCAAGAGAGTAGGCACCACCGCACTGGGATTGTCCAACTGGGAGAGATCAGGCTCAAGTCTGAACAGCAGGCTGAATGAACACAGGGAATTTATAGCCAGGAAGGGATGGAGCTCAGTGGATGGAGAATAATGAAATGGAAACTTCAGGGTTGGGGGGATTCTGGCTAAACCATCTGGCAGGATTCTTATGGAAGGCAGCCCAGGGCGGTCAGACACCATCTCAGACAAGGGAGGATGTAGAACTCACACGGATACTGAGACTGATCAGATGTCCAAGATGGGGGATTCTGGCTAGACTGACTGAGCAAGATATATTCTGAAACTGGACAAGGTACAGACAAACATGGGAGTCCAAAAGTAGAGATATATTTGAAGAGGAAGAATCCATTATTCTTCAAACTGATCAGTAAGTGCAATATAGAAAATTAAACATAAACAAACATCCTAATATGCATAGATATATGTCTAACTTGATAAGTTGATTCTAAATATATAAGGAATAGCACAGAGCTTAAAAAACCACCCAGACACTTGACAAGGAAAACAGGTAAGACACTCACCAATAAGATCTCAAAATAGTATTTATGCAATTAGAGTGATTAAGAAAGTGTTGTGTTGACATAGAACAAGAATATAGACAGAACAGATAGAACAGAATAGACAATTCAAAAACAGCCCATATAAGTATTGATACCAGATATGACAGAGGTCATATCAGCAGGGAAATATTCAATAAAAATTTTAGAAATTCTCTTTTCACATTAAAAAATGAAGTAGATCTCAAATGACAAGACAGAAACTCAATTCTGGATTATTTAAAAGACTAAAACTTAGGGACTTCAGGAGAGGGAGGAGTCCTTTTATCCTCTGAGGGTTTGGTAATTGAGTCTATGAAATAAACTGACAGTAGGCAAATTAACAGGAGAAAACGTATGCAGATTTATTACACACAGGGGAGCAACACATCCCCAAACCCAGTGAGCTCTAGAAGGTATGTACCTTCTTCATGGGGGAGCGAGGAGCTAGGAAACTGAGGGGAGAGAAAATGGCACCAATGGGCCCTCAAAAGGACAGGTGAAGCCTGTAATCCTAGCTATTCAGGAGGCAGAGATCAGGACGATTGCTATTCCAAGTCAGCCTGGGCAAAATAGTTCTCGAGAGACCCTATCTTGAAAATACCCAACACAAAACAGGGCTGGTGGAGTGGCTCAAGTAGACATGCCTGTTTAGCAAGTGTAAGGCCCTGAGTTTAAACCCACTCCGACAAAAAGAAAGGAAGAAAAAAAAAAAAAAGACAGCTTGTGATGAAGTTAATATGGGCATGGTGTCAACCTTCAGTGTCCCCTGCAGTAATAGGAGTTCAGTCTTCACTATAGGATGGGATTCCTGGGGACAGACTCATGACAATTGCATTACTTTTGGAGGACCTGTCTTTCAGCAGATAAGAGAAGTTCAAAGACATCCCTCCCTGCCTTGCTGCCCCTCAAGTGCCATCAGTTTGAAGTAATCAGCATACCAAAGTGGCATAATTTTGGCATGGCACTTTCTTAACTTCTTCAAAGTCTTTAGAAGAAAAGGACCAAAACACCACTGTCTTTGAAGGCGAATTTTCTTCCTTTGTGTGTGTATGTGCAGTGCTGGGGATCCAACCCAGAGCCTGGCACATGTTAGGCAAGCACTTTACCACTGAGCCACAGTCCTAACCCCTGAAGGGGGATTTCTTAGTCAAGATCTCAAAAGCACAAATCACTTAGTGGAAGCTTGAAAATTTTGACTATAGTAAAAACGAAGACTTTATATCAAATGGCCACATAAAGAAAAAACACAAACCGGGCAAAGAAATCTGTAACATAAATAATCAACCAAAGATTACTGTCCTGAACACATGTAGAACTACAACTAAGTTACAAAAGTCAAATAATGCAACAGATAAATGAGCAAAATTTTAAGTTTCATTGTAAACAAAACACAATTAGCTAATAAATACACAAAAAGGATGTCTAGCCTCATTAGTAATCACTAACATAATTCAGTAATCATAATTATATCTTTATACTCATCAGACTGACCAAAAGGAAGGACAATATTCTGCCATTCCACACCACCAGGTGTTATGAAATGGAACAATGAGGACACTCATTTCTAGTAGGACTGTAAATTGCTATACCTTTGTAGTAAAGCGTGTACCATTACTGACAGTTAAAGGTAAGTATTTCCCACATCTTAGTAATTCTGCCTCTATGATACACCCTGAATATACCCTTGCTTATATGCCCAAGAAGAATGCACAAGAATGCTTAGAGCTGTACCAATTGTTATTGGGAGAGAAATAACACCACAAGTGTTTATTTCTAGGAAAATGGATTAAGTTGTAGTCTAGACATCTAATGAAATACTATATCCAACTATCTTATTTATTGAATGATATACATTCGTGAACATGGATAAATCTCATAAACATAACATCATGTAAAAAATAGACTGTAATCTGTTTATGTAAAGATGCAAAACTAAAGCAATTGGTAAAAAAAAAAAAGCTTTAAGCGTTACTGTATAATTTGTACTTTGTAATATCTGGTGGTTGCATGGTTCAGTGAACTTCAGGATAACAGAAAATTAAGCATTAACTACAGTGCTAGGTAAAAAAAAAATCTGCAAAATCAAAACCTTTAAAATTTGCCTACAAACTTTTGGTAAATATCTATGCAGGAAATTAGATTATTTTAGACTCTCTTTAAAATGCTATCGGTAAATCATACTGTATTCTAAATTCCTGTATTTCCTCAAGCCATCTGAGCATGAAGAATTGTCACCTACCCGCATCGGCTGGCTGTGACGTTTGTCAAAGTGCTATTTGTCAGCTGAAGGCCTAGACCACCGAGCATTCTGTCTGGACGGTGACACTGCAGAAGGCCGAGCGACATGTCCAGGGCACAGATCTCGGGTCTGGTGTTTGGTGTCAGTGGGTTTGGAGCTCTGGTTGCTGCCACCACGTCCAATGAGTGGAAAGTCACCACCCGAGCATCCTCAGTGGTGACTGCCACTTGGGTTTACCAGGGTCTGTGGATGAACTGCGCAGGTAACGCCCTGGGCTCTTTTCATTGCCGGCCGCATTTTACTATCTTCAAAGTAGAAGGTAAGTGTAGTACCTTGTTTGGGTGAGGGTAAAATGGTACTTCTCCCACCCCACTGTGCCAAAGAGGCTGTTTGTAGTCTCCTGTCCACTCTGGGTGTGCTCAAAGTGTCAAAACTTGGACAGGATGGTTGAGTGTTGGTTGAAAGAATGACGTCATTAATTTTGTTTGACAATGGTAAGTTAAGAATAACCTATGGATCGGTTAGAAGTCCTCCATGTGAATAATAGACTCCAAAGGAAAGCATGGAAATGACTGGATTGTTTAGAAGGAAGTTTCAGTTTGCCTTGAGTCTCAGAGGAAGGTTGGTGGCTTGGTGGTTATTTTGTCCGGTATTGGAAGAATTGATTCAAAATCAGTTTGTCTCTGCTCCTCCTCTTCCTCCTTCTCCACCTCCTCTCCTGTTCTCTCCTTTCCTCTCCTGTCCTCCTCCTCTCCACTTTCAGGAAATCCTACTTTCTCCCAAATTCCTTCATTTCCTCAGACCACCTGATTTATAGGAAGGAAACATATAGGTACTGTACACATAGGTTTTTCCTCTAGAGCAATAGAAGCATATGACAAGAAGGATAGCTTGGGTGGGGAAAATAATTCTTTTGCAGAGGAATTTCCATCTTTTCTTTTAAAAATCATGTTTAGTGATAAAATAACAGCACGAAAAATTTTAAAGTAGTTAAGTGAAAGAAAACGCCATGGGCTTTTTCTTTTGATTATTTTGTTTGTTTATTTACTAGATGGGTGGGCAAGCTTTCATCTTTACACATTTTTGAAACTCTATTGTAAGTATGTGTATCTTAAAGAGAAAAGCATTTTTAAGAAGACATTTTCATACCTCCAAATACCTCCAGGGAAACGACTATTATTTGCTTTCATGTTGTTCTAAGAATCACCATTTCTCCCTGCTCTCTAAAAATTCGATATGTTGGCAAATCTGCCACAGCTGGAGGCTTATTATGTTAAACAGTGCTCCTGGCTTTTGGTAAAATATAGACTTTTTCACAGTCAAGAGGTAGAACCGTACCTTGGCCCCAGTAAAGAAAATGAAACAACATTTTAACTAGAGAGTTACTAAAGCATAATATTTTATGGGGTTTTGTGTCAAGTATGCATGTCGTTAGTCTACAGCAAGTGCCAAGGGATAAAAAGAGAGTACTTTGGTAAAGCCAGGCGATTTCTAATGACTAGAAATGGAATTGGCCAACCTAGGCATGTACTTCGCTGCATACATGTACAAGCATGCACTTTCCTGAGTTCCTATTGGTGGGATCAGTGCTGTACTCCTCTGTACCTCTAGCTTTTAGGCTTACTTTGGAAGTATTTCAAAACTACTCCAATCACAGAAAACATCCCTAGAAAGGACAAATTTTAAAAGTAAGAGTGTTTGTGGGGACACTAATGTCATTCTATATACGTTTCGAGTTCATTCTTTCTCCTCAACTCATTCTTGCCATGGACAGCAATTAGAGGGTAAGTCTGTTTCTTTGTTCTTAATTGGCTTTATCTTTCTTTAAAAAATGTTTTGTATTATTACACTTCATTTTATATTCCTCAATGAAACCCAGTTATCGAGAAAAATATGAATTTACTTTCAGCTCCAAAGTGACTTAAAGAACCACAGTAGATGTCTGAATAACTTCAATACCTACTTTCCCAACTGTATCTCAGAAAACATATAGTTCGAAATTTTATTACAAAATAATGTTAATGGTGGTCCAAATAATCTACCCTTAAAACTTTGTTTTTAAGTTGATTTTACTTCTTGATAGTAAATAGAATGTTTCTCTATCTGCTGTCTAACCTGTACATGAGGCAATTAGAAAAATCTTATCCACCAACAATTCTTCCATTTCAACACATAAAATGGTTAACACAGTCTCTCCACTTCATTCAACCCAAATAAAAATCTTTATTAAAAATACAGTTATTAACTGGTTAGCAGTCTGCAAAAAACTGAAACTAGATCCATGTATATCACCCTATACCAAGATTAACTCAAAATGGATCAAGGATCTTAATATCAGACCTCAAACTCTTAAGTTGATACAAGAAAGAGTAGGAAATACTCTGGAGTTAGTAGGTATAGGTAAGAACTTTCTCAACGAAACCCCAGCAGCACAGCAACTAAGAGATAGCATAGATAAACGGGACCTCATAAAACTAAAAAGCTTCTGTTCATCAAAAGAAATGGTCTCTAAACTGAAGAGAACACCCACAGAGTGGGAGAAAATATTTGCCAGCTACACATCAGACAAAGGACTGATAACCAGAATATATAGGGAACTTAAAAAACTAAATTCTCCCAAAACTAATGAACCAATAAAGAAATGGGCAAGTGAACTAAATAGAACTTTCTCAAAAGAAGAAATTCAAATGGCCAAAAAACACATGAAAAAATGCTCACCATCTCTAGCAATAAAGGAAATGCAAATTAAAACCACACTAAGATTCCACCTCACCCCTGTTAGAATAGCCATCATCAGCAACACCACCAACAACAGGTGTTGGCGAGGATGCGGGGAAAAAGGAACCCTCTTACACTGTTGGTGGGAATGTAGACTAGTACAACCACTCTGGAAAAAAATTTGGAGGCTACTTAAAAAGCTGGACATCGATCTACCATTTGATCCAGCAATACCACTCTTGGGGATATACCCAAAAGACTGTTACTCCAGAGGCACCTGCACATCCATGTTTATTGCGGCACTATTCACAATAGCCAAGTTATGGAAACAGCCAAGATGCCCCACCCACTGACGAATGGATTAAGAAAATGTGGTATCTATACACAATGGAATTTTATACAGCCATGAAGAAGAACGAAATGTTATCATTCGCTGGTAAATGGATGGAATTGGAGAACATCATTCTGAGTGAGGTTAGCCTGGCCCAAAAGACCAAAAATCGTATGTTCTCCCTCATATGTGGACATTAGATCAAGGGCAAACACAACAAGGGGACTGGACTATGAGCACATGATAAAGCGAGAGCACACAAGGGAGGGGTGAGGATAGGTAAGACACCTAAAAAACTAGTTAGCATTTGTTGCCCTTAATGCAGAGAAACTAAAGCAGATACCTTAAAGCAACTGAGGCCAATAGGAAAAGGGGACCAGGAACTAGAGAAAAGGTTAGATCAAAAAGAATTAACCTAGAAGGTAACACCCACGCACAGGCAGTCAATGTGAGTCAATGCCCTGTATAGCTATCCTTATCTCAACCAGCAAACCCCTTGTTCCTTCCTATTATTGCTTATACTCTCTCTACAACAAAATTAGAGATAAGGGCAAAATAGTTTCGGCTGGGTATTGAGGGGGGGGAGCGGGAGGGGGTGGAATGGGTGGTAAGGGAGGGGGTGGGGGCAGGGGGGAGAAATGAACCAAGCCTTGTATGCACATATGAATAATAAAAGAAAAATGGAAAAAAAAAATACAGTTATTGCAGAAACCCATTTTCAACATCAGGAACACTGATTCCTATTTCCAAAGGAAATGAGGACCCATAAATTTGGATTTCCTTATTTGCTAACATCACTGGTTGCTTTTCCTTCATTCCCAATTGACAACAGGACAATGGAGGAAAAAGAGGCTCTCTCTATTCAATACTTCTCAGACATCTTAATGAGAAATTGAGAAAAAAAGAACTCAGAAGCCTACAAAGAATGAAAATTCATTCATTGAGACGAATGAAAATTCACTTTTTTAAAACAATAAACTATTTAAACCTGCATTATCAATTTGAGACAAATCTTATATTTAGGGTATATTAAGACAGATTTAGAAAGAAAAACAGAAAACTTTTTTAATCTGTCAGACTTTTTTTTCCCTCCCTTGCTGGGTACATAACTTCTTGTCTCTTGGATACTCCAGTACAGCCATTTTTTTAAGGCTGATAGTAACTACATCTTTTAAAGATTTGATGCACAGGCTTACAACTTTATAGATTTGGCAGCTCTTTGGCTAAGGAATATTTGTAGTTATTGTGAAAAAGATGGAATATTTTCAACTATAGCCCTAAGATTTCATTTATTCTAGAGAGTACTATAAAGACACTTGCAATTCAGTTCTTACTGTGGCTTATAAGTCAAAACTTCTTGATTCAAAATCAAAACCACTTCATTGTCTTTAGACACAAAGTCCACTTCATGCCATGTCCACTGTTTTGTTGCATTTTGTTTTTCTTTCATATCAATGTTAACAGAGATGTTTTACCTATGAAAGTAATCATCTCTCAGTGAAGAATTGACTTGTCCACATGTATGGATTCAACCAACCTCAGGTCAAAACTTTCAGAAAAAAAGAAATATTTTCTGTCCTGAACCTGTACAGACTGTTTGCCTACCAATATTTTCTAAGCAGTGCAGTGTAAAAACAATATAGCATTTACATTGTATTAGTGTTACAGGTCATCTGGAGATGATATAAGTATACCGGAAGTTAGGGGGGGTATATGCAAATACTACACCCTCTTCTACAAGGGACTTGAGCATCCCCAGATTCTAATGAGCCCTGGGGATCCTGGAACCAATCCCTTCTGTATACCAAGAGATAACTCTGTTTCTGAAAGAGGAGGGCTAGATCCAGGAAGCATTGCTACAAAGAGGAATTGAAGGCAAATCATGGTCACTTTGTATAGGGACTTAACCTGTGTGTTTACCCTGTGCTCCTAATAAGAGAGAGCTCTGGATACCTATTTGAAGATGACTGAAAGAACATGGTAAGATAACAGGTGAGACTAAAGAGAGTTTATGATGAGAACAACATTGTATTCCTGGAAGAAGGCTGTAGTGTGCTAAAGTGAGAAGTGAATTGCTAAAAGGAGGACCACCAGGCTACAACTCAACAAATGAATTTCAAATTCTGCCTCTTTCATTAATTAGTTGTTAGACTTTGACTCAGCAATAACTCTCTGAGCATAATCCATAAATTTCCTCCTCTATAAATTGAAAG